GCTAATTTATATTTAGCAACCTAGATAAATGCGAAATTTTTGAAGAAAGAAGTAGCATATCTGGGACACATAATATCTGAAGATGGCGTACGGCCAGATCCAAAAAGATAAGCGCTGTGAAAAATTTCCCTAGGCCCAAAACACGAAAGAATATTAAACAGTTCCTTGGACTTGCAGGATATTATAGAAGATTTATTGAAAACTTTTCCAAGATTGTTAAGCCTTTATCTGATTTAACAAAACAATCAGTTGCTTTTGATTGGCAACGGAAACAACAAGAAGCATTTGATGAGTTGCGGAACGCTTTATGTTCAGAACCGATATTACAGTATCCAAATTTTAATGAACCGTTTATTATAACAACGGATGCATCTGGATATGCAATTGGAGCTATATTAAGTCAAGGAAAGATAGGAAATGATCTTCCAATAGCATATACTTCTCGAGTTCTAAGCGACGCAGAAACAAGATATTCAGCAACAGAAAAAGAATTATTAGCACTGATTTATGCAGTAAAACATTTTCGCCCCTATATTTATGGCCGAAAATTCACATTAGTAATGGACCATAAACCACTAGAATGGTTAAATTCAATAGCTGATCCTACCTCGAGATTAATGCGATGGAGGCTTAAATTAGCGGAATATGATTATGAAATAAAATTGAAATGAACAAACCGGGAAAGAAAAATAAAAACGCCGACGCTTTATCACGAAATCCTACGGAAAATATTAAAAATATATTTCCTCTACAAGCAAAACGTGCACGATCTTCAAGCGAAGGTTCCATGGAAGCCGATTATAAAAAACAAAAAATTTCACATCCAAAATTTAAAAGAATGTGGGAGAGTGAGGGATCTGGAAATCCCGCACCACACAAAAAATTAAGACCTGAAGAATTATCCCCTTATGAAGATTCGGATGATGAATTAAAAGAACCGCCCAAAAGTAAATTTATAGCTGACTTAGAAAGCAGCGACAGTGATAGTACAGCATCATATTA